TGTGCATTCACTATTTCTGCATTCCAACAGTACAAGGCTGATGACCTCAGTTAGCCTCATGGAGGAAGTCCTTCCCAAAGGCTAATCTGTTCTGGCTACGGCTCCTGCTTAGGGCTAGAAAACACTTTAAAACCTGGTATGTGGTGGAAAGCATTCTTCATGCAGGGCTGAAATAATAATTCAGATTCCTGAAGGCAGCCTCAAGCATTTTTGAAAGCCAGTGTTTGCATTTAAGCAATAGTGTTACACAGGACTATGTCAGATTTCCAAAATCCCACTGCTGGTATCAGATTTCTAGGAAAAAAAGACCCTGGGGATTCCCCCCCCCCCCATCCCCCATTCAAGTCCACATATTATTTTTAAAAATCTAGCTCAATTAGTCGTGTTTTGCAGTCATGGTTAGGAATCCCTTGGGGACTGTGAAGTTGTCTGAAGAGATCTGAAGGTAATGTGCTGTGTCTACACTGCAGTGTACAAAATGATGTTCCAGGTTCCTATCAATACTGTATGTTGCAGGGACGCACACTAAAAAGCTCCCCCCCCCCCGAAGCAGCAAGAGAAACTACTGATCTACCTGGTAGCCAGTTACTTGAATGTCCCAACTAGCTGCCCTTCTTTAGTGTTTACTTTGAAGAGTTGCAAAAAGGACCGCAGAGTACTTTTCTCTCTCCATAGCTCAATGATCAGTAACATCTTTTTTTGCCATAACAATTTTTTATTTTATTTTATATATAACATTTAAACATATTAACTTTGTCTTTTCAATATATATTAAATTACAAAAATTACAGTTGAAAACTTAAAATAAAAATAAATAACTAATCAACCTAAAAACCAAAATACATAATCATGGCATTTTCAGTAACTTCTTTTTGAGAAACTTTACTTGGGTGCCTTGCTTTCAGAATTGGGTGGTTAAGCAACTAAAAGAGAACATTTTATGTGGATGGTGCCTCAGTTATGTAATATCTGCTAGAATGCTGAAGTTGGTTTCCAGTTCCTTATTCAGACTTGCTAGTTCCTTTATTCACATAGCCAACCATGAATATTGAAGGATTCACAAGGGGGTGGGGGAGAGCTGCACCCAGAATAATCTTTGAACCACAATGAATCGTCCACCCCCATGCTCTGGAGACTGTCCTCTATATGAGGACATGCTCTGTACCTTTTCCAGGGCCTTTTCCTGAAGTGTTGTCTTTGTTATAGCCAGTTCTTTCCTAAGCTTTTAACAAAGTTATTGCTTCTTTCTCTTTTAGCATTCCTGTTGTATTACAATTTTTTTGTTTTTGTTTCTGATTCTGTTTTATTGGTTTTTAACTGGTTTTAGTTTTATTTTCTTGAAGCCTTCTTCTTCTTCTTTTGAAGGATGGGGTAAAAGCAATTTAGCTTAGGCTCTTATTGAGTGAAACAAAAGAGAATTGTTCTGAAACTCCATCCAAGAAAGTGAAAATATGTTTGTTAGAGGGAAGAAAATAATGAGCAGTGGGTGGGTGGTTAATATAGCTATATCACTGTACCATGAACATAATCTTTACAGTAATTGCATTTTGCATAACTATAAATGTAAACATCAGTTTAGCCAAGGCCGAAAAGATTGTGTTACAATAATCTTGAATGGCTTGAATTACTGTAAAAATGTGTACTAGAGGAACAGGAATTCTTTAAAGGGCAGCAAGACTACTGCTTGTTCTTACTGCGACAGCCTAACACAGCTATCCCTTTGGAATTATCCTGAATACTGAGGATCTAGAGAGAAAACTCTGGAGGATGACAGAGGACAGGAGGGCCTGGCGTGATGTGGTCCATGGGGTCGTGAAGAGTCGGATTCTGCTGTTCGACTGAAAAACAACAACAACAAAAAGAGAGAAAATTAAATTAGTCCTCGAGCCTTGCTTAATTTAAGAATGGTAGTGGTGTTCTAGAGCAATGAGGAAGGCTTGAGTGTGGAGAATTCATAACTGAGCCTTGGCCATATTGAATTTTATAAAGACTTCATACAAAACAGGAAAATGTTGTTAAAAACCACGTTGCCTCATGCAAAATCCAGAAAAAGAAACAAAATCATGTAATAACTTTTATTGAGGCCAACCCCAATGACACCAAAACATTGTGTAATCTTTATAGTTCTACTGAATGTTACAATAATTAAAAAATGAAGGAAGAAGCAAATTTTCCAGGTCCAGATCTTAAGACTCTGTTATGCTAGCACATGATGTTGGCTGGATGCTGGCAGGTTCACTGGTTGATAACTGTAGGTGTGAGATTACAACACTTTCATTCAAGGAAGAAAAACAAATAATGGAGGGTCAAGTTATTTGAAAAAAAAGAGCTGGGAGGCAAGTAGGCATGTAAGCTGATAACATTTCTATAAGTTCATCTAGGATTTTGTCTGTTATTGACATAACTAGCAGTTAACCTCCCTCTCCCCTGCACTTTCAAGCTTATTACATGTTATATATGTTGGAGCTTGCCAAAAAAATTTGCTTCTAGGAGCCAGATCAGAAATTTAGGAGCCAAATTCATATTTCAGCTTTCAGGGTTATTTATCTAGGATATTTCTATGCTGCCTCTTCAGAGTCCTGCTCAAGGTGGCTTACAATTAGAACCATGTCACAATATTACATTAAGCCAGTGGACATAAACAGCATTGAAACTATCCATTAAACAGAAGCTAGCAGACCATTAAAAAGTTGATAAGATAAAACTTCTAATTAAAAAGCCTGGGTTAAAAAAAAAAGATGGGTTTTGGCCTGGCTACTAAAATAAAGTAAAACCAGATGCCAGGCAAGCCTCAAGGGGAGAGGACATTCCAAAGGCAAGGTGCCACCACAGAAAGTGCCCTTTCTGTAGCCACCATCCACCTCATCTCACCCTCCCCTGTCACTATCCCAGAGAAGGTCATCAGTCAGGGTGACGGAGGCTGTTTCTGAAGCCTGAATCTAGGTTGATATGGGTCTAGATTATCTCCTCCAAGACTGTCTGAAATAGTGTAGTCCCCAACTGCTCAATTACCTTGCCCAAGAATGGAATATTAACCACTTGGCAGTAGTTGTTTAGGTCAATTGGGCCCAGGGATGCCTTCTTCAGGAGGGTTCTCACAACCACCTCTTTCAAAATAGTTATGTACAATTATATTTTCTAGTTATTGCTACCACAAAAAAAACCTAGGGGCCATGGTGACATTTCTTGGGCCCATGATGACCTGGTACCTTGAATTTTTCAGGCCCTGGTATATACCTCTGCCAAGTTTCTTATTCTTTATTTCATTAAGAGTACCCCCATCTCCTGTTATGTGACATGGAAGTGTGTGTGTGTGGGAGCAATTGTTCTAACTGTGCAGTTTGACTTGCAGGTATTATGGCACTCTACAGGACACACCTACTGGGTACACTGGCACATGATAGAGATTACTGGTTTTGGGGAGCAGCCAGAAGAGGAGGCTGCCCAGGATAAGGTGTCCAGTCTAGCAGAGAACCTGAAACTACCTGCAGGTAAGATTGGAGGCATCTTAATCCCAACCCCTATTTATGCATGTTTATGGTAACCATCTTTATTTTCATGCCATGCTTTCTTTGGAGAGGTGAAATTGTTACATGGATTGCCTGGGGCAGTACACATGTAAAAAGGCTCTTTATACTCTATGTATATGAGGGTCAAATTGCGAGAGATACCAGTGGAAGGAAGAGCCTTTTTGATTGAATACATGGAGTTTTTATTGTAAATAAATGCAACGCTCATACTACTCACTCATGCAAAAATAATAGCAACAGATCAACATACACAGAGCTAGGAAACAGAGAGGTGATCAATAGTGACAAGAAGGGGGTTGGTTTTAGATTAGGGTAATATTCACCTGATCCTGGAGTCCAGAATCCTCATGGAAGGAGGAGGGCATGGCCGACCAGCAGTTCATGTCAAAGGCTCAGGTGGAGTCTGCGGGCACACTCTTATGGGCACCTCAAGAGCTGTACAAAAATTGAGGCACAGAGTACCAGTTTAAATGTGATTTGGAGAGCCAGGGGTGGGCTGGCCCGGGGTCTAATGAGTAGCCAGATTAAAATTGAGGATGTGCAGGATGCTTGGTTTCACCAGTGTTTGTCTTTCTACACATCATTGACTCGATGTTGGTTGGGGAAAGGGTGCTGGACTCGAAATTACTTTGAGGAGACAGTTCAGTTCACCCAGATTAGTGCCCGGGTCAGAGAAGATGGGATTTAAGGATTAGTACATTGATGAAGATCATTGTTAATTATTGGCTGATCATGAGGTCCTGTGTATGTGCTCCTTCTTCTGGACTCAGTTCTTCCTGATCTAGCTTGGCTGGTTCAAAATGGAGTTCAAAATGCCTGGCTATGCCAGACCAATGTGAGGTGTGGGACCCTGGTCTTACTGCCTCCTAGGCTGCCGGGTCCCTCTGAGTTTTTCAGAGAGAGGGGATTTAGCACAGGTACCTCTGGGGAGGTAACAAAATACTTGGTAAATAATTCCCTTTTCCTGATCATTCTGTTGTATTTGCACATAGTTGCTGTTACTCATATACACGGGAGCATGGAATTTCTTTGGGGAAGAAAAGAAGAGATAATGGAAAATATCAGGATGTATAAAATACCATTTTGGAAAGTCAGTACATGTGTGCTAATGAAATATGAGGTGGGCAAGAAGGTATTTTCAGAGTTCCCATATAGGAACTCTGGAAATAGGAAACAGGCATGTGTATCTTTTTGACCACACATTTTTTTCACCCTCTTAACTTTTGAAATCACATGTGTGTTTTTAAAATGATGTATGTCTTGTATCTGTTATAAAGAACTGTCTCCTGTGCCAGTTCATAGGCCTGGTTCCTTGATACCCAAGTAGTGTGGGTTGATCTTCCATGTGTATGCGATTCCAGCAACATTTTAGAGTAGCATTGCATCTCACAGGAGGCAAAGGATGTTGGCATAGTGTCATCCAGTGTGATCTACCCTTCTCTTGTAGTGGTGTGACTTCACATGTTACTGGAGTGAAGTTGAGTGGAATGCAAGTAAATGGAAGCCGTACAAGTTGGGTGTCCTGCTAACTGGGCATTAACTATTATGTATGTCAGAAAGAGCTAGATGTTTTTGTTTTTCCTGCATGCAGTTACTCGGACATTCTACTGTAAGCCACTTGGGGGTCTTTATTCTCTGCCATACTTGACGGATGAGATGAGTGAACATTCTGGGACCCTCAGCCGGGCTGAATGGTGGGAGCTGCTATTCTTCATTAAGAAGCTAGAACAGCAGGAACAGCAGGAAGTCGTTCACTTCATCCAGAAGAACCGCAAAGAGCAGGTAAGTGGAGAAGTGCAGCATGAGAAGATGGGAAAAGAGCAGGAAACTGTTTTGAAGGGAAAATTGAGTGGATTGAAAGGGTAACTGCTATAGTTGATACCTGCTAGATCATTAGCACTCAAGGTGGACTTTGTCAGCAAAAAATCTGTGTTCTCCCTCTCCCTTAGCTTACCCTATGGCTGGATCCCTTGAAAGAGTGGAGTCAAGAAATTCCCCTGCTTCTTCTAACCTTTAAAGACTGTGGCTGGATTTTGGGAAGTACAGTGTGGTTACAGAGATATACATATTTACTTTTTAATTGTCTCTTATATTTGAAGCTGTCAGAACTAGACGAAGAAGGCCTGATCCAGCTGTCTGTGTCAGTAGAGCTGACTCAGAAAGTGCTGCAGCTGCTGAGTAAGCTGTGCCAGGGCTGCACCCGAAGTGACCTGCAGAGCTCCCACATCTATCTCAAGTATTCTTTCAGCAAGGGAAGGGCAGAGCAGAACTGCCAAAATGGGGACGTGACCCTTCCAGAGTGTGGTAGCCTTTCTGAAGCCATGGCATCCAAAAAGCCAAAGAAAGAGCTATTCTCTGCTGAATCGCCTTCTGCAGCACCATCCACAACAGAGAAAACTGACACACAGCTGATTAATGAGCTCCTCAAAGTAGAAGGACTTGCCTTCCCAGACACACTGGAGGAGAAGGTCAAAGGTAAGTGCCGGCCATCGTCCCTGCTTGACTTTTGGGTGAGCATTCTTTGGGGAGAGCATGGAACTGCAGGCAGCTTTCATGTTTGTTTCTGGAAGAAGAAGCCAATAGCGCAGAAAAGAGGTGCTGTGGTTTTGCGCATGGGCAGAGTGTTTAAAGTGAAAATAATGTTGTACTAATCTGTCTTTTAATCCTGGACAGTCTTCTGCAGTACAAAATTGACGGGGAAGAGGAGCTCCTTGGAAAAAATAGCAGACATTGGGGATATCATCCAGAAATCCAGCTCTGAAGTTGTGCTGCAGATGGCTGGTCTCGGGTTCATCACTAAGCTCTTGGAGGAGGAACCTGGTCAAGCAAGACAGGTCATCAAAGCAGATGGTGGACTTACCGTCAGGTCAGTTGTCGTGGTTTTTCTGCCTGATGCAAGAGCTGCAACATGGCCTCTTCCAGCTCTGTTGGTTTACTGGAGAACAGGAGCATGTTCCTGTGGGTAGAAAAGCAGGATGTTAGCGGATGCTTGTGTAATAGTTGAGGCTTTTGAACTAGAGATTTCACTTCTGGCTGAGATGCGTCTTAATACATGTATTCAAATCTGCATTTTTTGTAAAAACAAGGCATGTTGTTCGTTATCCTGAGCCTTACAGTGAGAATGGGATATGAAGCTAAACAAACAAATCACAAGTAGGTCTCATGCTTTAATGCGTAGTTGCTTTTATATGTACCTCCTTCTGAATTTGGAGCAGCTTTCTCCATACTGTCTACTGAGCTGATCTCCCGTTTCTTAGGTACAATTCACTTGGTGATGTCTGAGGCTGGTTCTTGTTCTGCCCAATTTTAAGGGATGACACAGCTGCAGGATTACAAGTCTCCTTTTTGCTGCCCTCAGGGAGAAAATGGTGAAAATGCTGGTGGAACTGCTCAGCAACCAGTTGAAGGAGAAGCTGCTGGTGGTGATGGCGTTGCGATTGCTTTACGTGCTTGTGGCAAAGTACGACTGGCGGGTTCTCTTCGCTACAGAAGGTGGGGTGCGTGCTGTGCTGGGCTGTATGCAGGAGTACCCCACATCAGCATTGGTGCAGCAGGCTGGCCTGGCAGTAAGTAAAATACAGCATTGGGCAAAGGCTTCTTCAGTGGGAAGTCATTTAAAAATATGTAGGCCAGCTTTCTAGATTCAGACAAGCTAAAGCAAGTATTTTGAGAGGCCGATGCTCTCATAGTTGCTTCATAAAAGGTGAATTCCTGCGCTGATAATCACTTCCATGCAGGACTGTGTGTCCCCCATCACACACATTTTTGTCTTACCTGTATGCAATAAATCCACCTCTGCCTATGGATCAGGCAGAATCAGAACTATGACGGACAGTATATGGCAAGTGAGTGGAGAAATGAGGCAGGCAGGCAGGCAGGCAACGAGGGCTGTTGTAGGTGCGAGGTGCGAGGATGGGCAACAGTTGAAATATGAAGGAAGGGGTGATGGATGACATCATTGTGTGTGTGTGTGTGTGTGTGTGTGTGTGGTATTTCTGTTACTCCTGACTGCTTGACCCCGTTCTCAAACCTGCCTGCTTTACCCTTTTAGGCATTGAAGGTGTTGGTGGGTGCTGGGAATTGTGAGCTACTGGGTACCAGTGGGAAGTCCTACCCTCTGAACCATTCTGATGCTCAGATGATGCGAGAGATCTTTGCCAGCATCGGCTCTGCTACCAGCAAAGACTCTGACAACCTGCTTTGTGCCATCCCTGCTGCTATTCAGAAGATGTTGGGCACACCTGGGTAAGAGCAAATGGTTAACCTGACTAGGCAGGGGAGGACTGATCTATGACGCTAAGGCGAGCCCACACTGGTTTCCATCAAGCTGCTGGGGTGAGGAATCCATGCAGGAACCCTGGCTTGGTTCACCATTCTCTTGAGTTCTCCCTCCTCCTTGCAGAGGGCCAGTCTGGTGGGCTCCTTGCCTGCCGCCGCGCGGACGGCTGGTCTCTGGAGCTGGCTGCTGGCGCTGGCCCCTCGAGCGGTTCTTTGAACTCTCGCTCTTCTGCTCATCCTCCCTCCTGCCCAATGGAATGGCGATGGCCAGTTGCACCGGACAGTCAGCAGCCTTTGCCCCTCCTTCCCGTAGGGCTTCTTCCGCAGTGCAGAACGGGCTCTTGGTCCTGAACATGCTGATCAGCAATCACAAGGATCTGGCACAGCAGCTGGTGAACTGTGACCTCCACTCAGTCCTGCAGAACTGCTGCCACTCCGGCCAGAGCTCCAACGAGATGCTGGCGCGAATCGTCCTCAACCGCCTGGCCGAGCACAAGCTGCCCCTGAGCCAGGAGAATGCAGGTAGGGATCTGCACCTGTCCTCCAGATATTTAATCTTCCTTTGCGTTTCATTCTCAGTTTGAAGTGTGCAAGTGCCAAAGGCTTTGCTGTATTTCCATCAGTTACTTATTTCCAAACTCTCTCTTGTGAAATGGGAAAAGACCCCAAAAATGCCTTGACTCCTTTGCTTGGCAAGTTCAACAAGTCCTAAACCTTTCTGACCCTGGAGAATATTAGTATTGGTGCTTCTCATCCATGAACTCCCTTCTCAAAGTGAACTACAAGTGATCTGGCTGTTACCATTTGGTGGTGGTGGAAATTGCTGTCAAGTCGCAGCCAACTTATGGCAACCCCATGGGGCTTCCGAGGCTGGAGACATTCAGAGGTGGCTTGTCTTGCCATTGCCTACCTCTGTACCACAACCCTGGACTTCCTTGGAGGTTTTCCCTCCAAATACTAACCAGGGCTGACCTTACTTAGCTTCAGAGACCAGGCTAGCCTGGGCTATCCAAGTGAAGGCTACCAGTCTGTACCTCCCCCACTTGCTCCTCTTAGGAGCTTTAAAAGGGAAAAAGGTAAGAAGCACTGTATCCCTCCGGCTTCGATTCTTTCAAACTCTTCGTCGCTGGGCCATGATCACCAACTAAGGTCCTCCCATAGCTCATTCAAGGGGATGTTGTTTTGTCTCACAGGAGCCTTGTCTTCCCTGTCCTTTCCCCCCCTCCCCAGATCCCGAGGCTACCTTTGAGCTCAAGGACATGGATGTGCCAGCACTGCTAAGCAGCCTCCGTGACACCAGCTTTTCGAAGGAGGTGGTGCTGGCACTGGAGCGCTGCCTTTGTGATGAGGGCGTTGGCACTGAGGGAGATGGTTCTGAGCTTTTGCCAGACCGTGAACACTTCTTGCTGTTGCTGAAAACCCTGGAACAGCTGGGAGCGGAGAAGTCTGTACAGCTGGGGGTGTTGAGGTGAGGCAAAAATGAGCTTGAAGCATGGGTGTGCCTGAAGAAGAGCTGGTGGGAGAAGAGCAGTCTGTGGGGCTAAGGGTTAAGAGTTATTGGGGGGGGGGAGTAGGGTTTCACTGTCATGGAGTGGACCTTTTAGGACAGTGCTTAGGCATGGAGGATGTAGAAAAAGAAAAGTGTCTTGAGCAGTAATTTCTCACAATGGTGCATTTAGCCCTTCCAGTGGAAGCTTGGCATGGGAGTTTGAGAGGTGGAGAAATATCAGGAAATAATGTAAATGGCTGGCCTTCAGGCAGCACCACAAGCCTGGCATAGAAACTGGAGTAAGCAATTAACTATATTGACGTAGCACACTGTAGGGTGTGGTCAAGATCCCACCCCCCCAATCCTTTGTTGCAACTTGGGGAGCTATGGAATTTCCTGAGCCTCTGTAGACGGAGCTTGCTGAAAATTTGGGACCACTGTCTGGAGCAGTTCTCCCAAGATCACCATGCTGTAGGTAGATGGCCTGTCTGAAGGAACACAGATTCTCACACTGAGGAGGAGGGCATCTTGGAATGTGTGGTTCCCACTGATTGCTCAGGGAGGCAGGACTAAGCTCTTCAACTTCCTGTCTCCCAGGTGCGAGTCACCCTGGCTGCTTCCTGTTTCCTTAGAGAGTACAGCTTGGAAGCAAAGTTCTTTGCTCTTTTTTACTTGCTTTTCTCCTAGAGTTGATTTCATACCTGAGGGAAAATTTCATCGCCTCTCCAGCCTGTCCCTCTTCACACCTTCTTTCACACTTCCTTGTTGTCTCTGCTGCTGCTTTTGTCTTAGTAACTTTTTCTTTGCTCCCCCCTCCCCCTCCTTCCTTGGAGCAACGTGGAATGGCCCAGCAGTGCGCCTCGGCGGCTCTGGAGGGACATAAAGAGAGAAATTTAACTCTGGAAATGATGGAGTCCTTCTCCTCCTTCCTTCTGTCTCTTGTGAAGAGAGCTCCCCCACTGAGTCTAGCCCAGAACAGCCTAGGAAGACTGCTGGAGCCCAAAACAAAACTGCTTAAAACTGCAACATAAAAATGCATGAAAATGGCTCCACAAGCGCAAATGGCTCTCTTGGCTGCCAGTTTGGCCCCCCTGGGGGCTATGATGGCACACCAGGCTCCTCCGTTGGACGCCGCCACCCCCCCCCCCCCCCCCTCTCCCAGCTGCCAGTTTGGGCCCAGGAAGGCTATGATGGCATGGCAGGCTCCTCCATTGGACCAGAGGGACTCCTTGACAATGTGGCTCTTGAAAGGTATGGGCTCCTGAATCTCGATTACTCCTCAGAGGTCACAAAGACCATCATGGCTTCCAAGAGTGCCTCCACAGGATGCATCTACAGTACTACACGAGAAAGAGCCTTCTTGAGATGATGCCCGTGCAAGCCCATCAACCCCCTCAGCCATCAGTTGGTCCTCCTTCAGATAGTGTTCACCAAAAATTACAAACTACCTTATGTAGCTGGCATCCTTTGACTAGACACCCTCATTGTGGCTATTAGCCACAAGGTATAGATAGGGGCTCTGGGGCAAGTGATGCTCTGTCTTCTTGGTGCTTGGGGGGGGGTCAACAGTGGGAGGGCTTCTAATGTCCTGGCCCCACTGGTGGACCTCCTGATGGCACTGGTAATTCTGGCCACTGTGTGATACAGAGTGTTGGACTGGATGGGCCTTTGGCCTGATCCAACATTGGCGTCTCCTATGTTCTTATGCCTATTGTGGTCCACAGGTTGCCTTCATGGAGAATGTATATAGTTCTTTCAGCTCTCATTAATCCTCCTTTCGCGTTCTTGAGGGAGGTTCCCCCTAAAATAGCTGTACACAAAAACACTCTTTCTCATGGCAGTGATTTCAGCTAGAAAAGTCTCGAAACTGGGAGCCTTGTCAGCTAGAAAAGGCATATGTGTCTTCCATGAGGACAAGGCAGTACTGAGACTGGATTTCACCCTCATCTCTAAGGTGAACTCAACTTTTCACAGGAGTCAGGAAATTCACCTCCTTTCCTTCTGCCCTCGTCCTAGTCACCCCCAGCAGGACAGTGACACTTCTCAGACCTCTGGGGGTCCCTCAGAATTTACCCCCAATGTACAGAATCTATCAGAAAGATGGACTCTCCCTTCATTTCATTAACAGCCACAGTAAAGAAAAGATGACACCCAGATCTGCCATCAGCTACACCATTCAATAGTGCATCTCCCGTGCCTACAAGGCAAGCAACATTCCGGCTCCAGCAGGGATGATGGTTCACTCAGTGAAAAGTGCAGCCACTAGCGTAGCCTTCGATCATCAAGCCTAAGTGGAGGAAATATGCAAGGTGGCAACATAGCCTTCAGTCTCAACCATCATTAGACACTACAAACTTAATCCCTTCTCCTCAGACAATGCTGCATTCAGGTGTAGAGTGCTGCAGGATGTGGTAGAAGATTGTCAGTTCCCACCTGTCACTGAGACACCACCATTGGAAGACCCATTCCAAGATGCCCTCCTCCTCAAAGCAAGAACAGAACCTTGGATACTCACCATGAGGGTTCCTTCTGCTCTGAGGTTAGAATGGATACCTTGTCCTACCCAAAAAACAAAACAAACAAACAAAAAGCAGGAAGAACAGAGGAATGTCTTCAAACGCAGGGTCCTGAGTCTGACCAATTAATTAATTGTCATATGGCAGTGTGTGTTGTATAGCCAGGAGATCCGAGGATTGTCTGACAGCTGAAGTTCTGAGACTCTAGCGTTAAGCACCACTAGGTGGTGAGCTAGACTTGGTGGGCTGAGAGAGTTCTGAGAGAACTGTGACTGGCCCAAGGTTACCCAGCTGGCTTCATGTGGAAGAGTGGGGAATCAAACCCAGTTCTCCAGATTAGAGTCCTGCCACTCTTAATCACTACACCAAACTGGCTCTCACTACACCAAATTGAGTCTGACCAATCCTGTTGGATCAAGTTGCAGAGGAAGATGCCTGCTGGTTCTAATCTTTGTTTAACCCCACTCATATCTCTTCTCTGGTTATCACCTGTTATGTTTTTAACAGTTCTAGTTGTTGTTTTATCTCTGTTTTGCTCCTTGCTGTTCCTGGGGTCATTAGCTTGTGAAGCAACCCAACTGAGCGAGGGTGATTCCCACCTAGGAGTCAGGAAGTTGAAGAGTTTAGTCCTGTCTCCCTGAGCAATTGGTGGGAATCATCCATTCCAAGATGCCCTCATAACCTCAGAACAGAGGGAACCCTCATGGTGGGTGTCCAAGGTTCCATTCTGTGTGAATAAAATCAGGAGGGAAAAAGCTTGCTGTATTGTTGTGGTTGTCATTGGACAGTTTTGGGCAGTCTTCAAGCCTGTCTGTAGTCTTAGATTTATGACTCCTTGTGAATAGTTTGGGAGCTGTCTAGCAAACATGACTTGTGGAGGAGTTCTAATTTTAAGACATTCCTGAACATCTTAATTTAATAAAATAAAGGATGTTGTCTTGTGAAGAGGGGTGTGATTAGAAATGGAATGGACTCCATGGCTCTTAAGCAGTGGGTGTAGGAGTGCCCCTGTTGCCCTTGGCTTCATGTCCAGACAGAACTGAACCAAGTTATCTTCTCCTTTAACCCTCTCTTTCATTCTCTCTGCTCCAGGATTTTGAATAAGTTTTTGGACAGTTCCAAAGAAGACGTGTTGCCCTGGCATGAGTGCATTAAGCCCTGTCTGTCTTCTATGAGTGTCCACAGCAATGAGCGGGAGGTGAGGGACTTGTTGGAGTGTTGACTTGAAAGCATGAGGCTCTGCTGAAAGCCATTTTGGAGACCGTTTAGGAGACTCTAGTGAGAGAGCAAATCATTATGGAGTTGTAGCTTCCTAATGCATTGTGAGTGGTGGAAAGCGGCTCTGGCCCCTGCCTGCAGATTCCAAAATGAAAGTTACACTAGATATGATGCTGAGAAATCTCTGATCAGAGGGTGGTTGCAGTGTGGAACTATGCAGAGGAGACAGGATTAAAGCTCCTTGCCCCTTAAGACTAGCTTTAAGCAGATCTAACTAAAAAATCTTGTCTGACCCCTAAAATGTGTTAGAGACACCCACAGCTGAGCTTGTCATGGGAGCTGAGTGATCCATCAGTGATGCATGTTTCATGTGCAAAGTAGCATACCAGCCCCATGCAAGGGCAAGATGGTTGTCAGTCACTACACTTGTCCAGCCACTTTCCTGGCCACTCATGGTGAGCAGAAATCTGATTCTGGCAGCTAGACTGGAAAACAGAAATGGGTCCTCTTTTGTTTTTAGGTCTGAAATGCCTGAACTTGGCATGTGTGAGCAAAGTGGGCTATTAATTCCCCCCCCCCCCAATAGCTTGTAATCTTTTTGGACTTGAGCATAAGGTTGTTCTAGTCTTGCTTCTAGTCTTGAATCTTTTAGGTGGTCCACATCTATTTCCTTACCAGATTTAAAGACTCTAGGAACACAGCTGGTTGGAAGTAGAGATCAGGCAGCTTAGCACACTGTCTTCAGTGTGCTGGTGGTACTTCCTTTCACGTATTTGCATGCTGGTCAAAAAGCCACATATCTCTCTCAAAAGAAGTACGAGGCAGCCTGTACAAGGAAGATTTCCAAGGAGAATATGATGCATTATTTTAATGCCTCCTTCCCATGATGAAGAAGAATCTTAAGATGTGTGCTTTTGAGAAATGGGATTTTACTTCTTTTATTATTAACATTTCTTTTTTGTATTGTATGGGATCCTCAGGTGGCTTACAATGAAGTAAAATGATCATAAAGTAGAACAACAAAGTCAGCAGCATAATAATCAGCATCTAAATACTACAGACAGTAGGGGAGATCCCATGATAGTCAGTAGATAATACAAAATAAACCCTCAGTTTAGAGTCAAAAAGCCTTCTTAGAGCAGTTTTGAGCAGCTGCCCAAACAGTGTTAAGAAAGGGGAGCAGGGAGTCTCCTTTTGTCAGCCATTCCAAAATTGTGGTGCCACCATCTTAAAGGTTCTGTCTGGTGGCCATCCATCCCACTTTAGAAGGAATGGAGATGGAATTCTGAAGATTACTGCAGTTTCTAGGTAGATCTGACCGGTAACCTGTGCTGATTACACAGAACAGAAGTAACATACGTCTGGTGCCTTTCCCTTATTCTGGAGCAGCTGTAAAGCGTAACACTGCAGCCCTCTTCCCACTGCAGCCCCAAATGCCCTCTGAAACGCTGCTCCTGGGGGACAAGTGATCCTCCTCCAGGAACATCATGGGTGTGTGTGTCAGAAATCTGCAATGGGAGAGGGAAATTGGGGACCCCTCCACTTTGATTCTTGGAAATCTGCTGTGGAATCCAGCTTGGAGAATAAATTTGGGAGAGTCAAAGTTCCCTTACAATACAAAAAAGATACGAGTTGGAATGGAGATCTGAGTCCTTATAGCCCAGTTAGAAGGTGGGAGGGTCACAAGAAGGAATTCAGGATGCAGAGGTACAGTGTGCATTGCAATTAGCTTGATTTGGTCAGAGGGGAAATGCTTGGGGTAGAAAATTAGCATCTGTAGTGAGGTAAAACTCCTATGTCCCTATTTCGCCCTGGGGGTTCACTGACATAAGGATTCAGATATCCATTCCGACTTGTATCTGATGAAGAGAGCTTTGACTCTTGAAAGCTTATACCCCAAAAATCTTGTTAGTCTCTAAGAGGCTACTGGACTTGAATCTAGCAGTTCTACTGCAGGCCAACATGGCCACCCTCTGAAACTTGGAGGGTACCAGTAAAAATGGAGAGGCACTGAAGAGCTGTCTTATGTTACCTAATTTTTATTCCGTTCTTCCTCCAAAGGCATCAGGGTGGTATACATGGCTTTTCTGTGCCCTGCACCATTCTAACCTTCACAAACACTCTGTGAGACAGGAGAGGTTGGCCCGAGATCACCCAGTGAGCTTTGTGTCTGAATAGGAATTTGAACCTGAGTCATTATTATTATTATTATTATTTATTAAATTTATGAATCGCCCTATCCCTATTATCATGGGGTCATTCCCATTCTTTGTCCAGAGGTGTATCACTCAACAAAAACCACCCTGTGTGTGTGAGAGAGAGCAGTCTCAGTGGACACCCTAGCCCTGTGCCCTGTTGTTGCATCTCTGTCTTCAGGTTGTGCAGGAATTTATCCGTTTCCTGCATCGTCTGGCCACCACCAACAAAGACTGTGCAGTCGTGATGTGTCGTGTCGGCACAAAGGAAGCACTGACGAAGGCTATGGACAAGCACAACTCCAATCTCTTGCTGGTGACAGAGCTGCGTGACCTCGTGACAGACTGTGAGAAATACGCCAGCCTTTATAAGAAGATGACGACCAGCATCCTGGCTGGTTGCATCCAGGTGAACCTGATACCTTTTAGGAGATAGGATTGGCAAGCCAAACAACAGATAGGGTGCCAGCTGCAGCTGGTGTAAACTAGTGCAAGCTGAACTCAGATAAGAGGCCAGTGCAGCAGAAGTGGTGCTCTGTAGAGTTTTGGAGGTCCTGTTTTCTCCTCTAAGATGGGTTGACTGATTTGGTCAGCAGCTGCACTCAGAAATATGCTTGGCATATTCTGAGGCTCTTCTGTCAGTTTGGATTGCTAGAGCTGGTGGGGTGAAAAGCAGGTAAACCACAGGTTCCGTGTTCTCAGTTAATGCCTTCGTTTGTCCCTGTAGATGGTCCTCGGTCAGATAGAGGAACACAGGCGTAGTCACCAGCCTATCAACATCCCCTTTTTTGATGTGTTCTTGCGCAATCTTTGCCAGGGTGAGTGATCCATACATTTCTGAAAGGAACAAGGAAGGTGGGGAGCTCGTTCCCCACAAACCTGCTTGTGTTGTCCCCGACTCTCTTCAACTCCAGATTCTTTTGTCTAGGGTCCAATGTGGAAGTGAAGGAAGACAAATGTTGGGAGAGAATGGAAGTCTCCTCCAACCCCCATCGGGCCAGCAAGTTAACAGACAGGAATTCAAAAACATACTGGGAGTCAAATGGCAGCACTGGATCCCACTACATTAATGTCTATATGCATCGGGGAGTGGTAGTCAGGTGAGTCCCAGCAGAGATCAGTTAGGAATCTCTAGACAGGTAGGATTGGTTGATTGTCTTGTGAGTGATTCTTGTGACATGCTTCTAGCCTTCAAGGCAGATTGTTTCTCCTTTGTGCAGATGCTTGGTTCAAACACTGAATGTATTTTCTCTCCTGCTGCAGGCAGATGACTTTGCTAGTGGCCAGTGAGGATTCCAGCTATATGCCAGCTCGGATTGTGGTCATGGGAGGGGAGAATGCATCCAGCATCACTACTGAGCTCAATACTGTGAGTGCCTCAGCCTCCCTCTAAAGCTGAGTAGTTACAAAAACAATGGGGCCATGGTGTATAAAGGAAGATGAAAAGAAGAAATGAAAAACATTCCAATAAACACTCTAAAAAGCTGTATTTGTCTCATTTGTCAATAACTTCAATTAACCAATCATTGAATAGTATATAGGGCATTGCCCATATTAAAAATCCACACACTCTTTTTCATGTATATCCCCCCCCAAATGTGAACAAAATGCTAAGCATACACAATCAAATTCATAAACATGAATTAGAAAAACTCTGAACCTATATTGCACTTTATATATTTTTTAATTTTAAATATTTTAATTATTTTTTAAAGTAATACATAATAATCATAACACAACCATTAAAAACACAATAAAGGAAGGGTATGAAGGAGCCTACAAGAAAGTCTGTTGCATTACATTTCAACTGACTCGTAACACCTTATCTAAGACCACAACTGTATATCTCATTTTTTGTCCTGTCCCGCAATCCAAGGATAAGAGTCAATTACAGAAATATCCAACTATGGTTGTAAGTATTTTTAGGGAGTACTTAATATTTTGTCATGTAATTTATCACTGGGGCCCAAGATCGTGCGAATTTAGCGTGTCTATTGGTGTTAGGTGCTTGAGACAGCTGACTTAGGTCTGCAATTTTCGCCATAACAAACTGTTCCCACAATTTATCGTGCCATCCCATGAGTGTAGGCGGGTTGGGGGATATCCAGGAGGCAGCTAACGTTAGTTTTGCGGTCGCCAGAAGTGTTGATGTGAGTGTTCGTGCCTCATCCTTGACCGAGTTACCCCATTTGTTGAGTAATATGACCTCAGGGGTGCCTGTGCTGTTTTGTGAGGTTATCTCATTAATGCGAGATTTCACATTGTTCCAAAATTGGCGGATCAGTGGGCAGTTCCACCAACAATGGAGATAACTGCCTACCTGCCCACATTTTTTCCAGCACAGTGGACTATTGTTGCTATTGATTTTATGTAGTTGGGTAGGCATTATGTACCACCTTGTTAATAGTTTAAAATTTTGAAGATGTAAATTATAGATTGTGAAACTGTTCACCGGTGAGGTCCAGATTGTGGCCCAATCCGTTTCCTGCCACTGTTGGTTGAGATCTGCTTCCCAGCGGAGTTGAATGTTTAATTTTGTTTGGCTGTTTGCTGTTGTTAGGGTTTTGTAGATTTTAGATAGTGTTCCTTTAGGTGAGGTTGAGAAATCTTTAATTACCTTCTCTAGAGTTGTTAGGTCTCTTTGAAATGTGCCGAGGCCCTCCAGGTATTCCGTCATGTTTTTCAGCTGAAGATATTGATACCAACGGGTTGGTGCCCCTATTTTCTGGTCAAAATACTGTTTTCTCTGGATTTTACCTTGCACTATTAGGTCGATCGGTCTGGTGAAGTGTGCTCTTGACCAGGTGACAAGCGCGTTTGGGAGTTTTCCTGGTGGAAACCAATTTTGATGGGTATATGTTGAAAGTTGCGAAATCCCAGTCGGGAGAAGCTTCTTCTGTAGATCCCATTTTTTAATTGAGTTTGCTAGTAACATGTTTTGTTTGATGGTCTTTGGTCTGACATTTGGTTTTAGCCAGAAAATTTCCTGGAGACTAAAAGGCGCAGAGTACCATTCTTCTATCCTCATCCATGGCGGCTGTTGATGGAGCATCTGAATGACTTGGGCCAGTGCTGATGCTTGGGAATAACTGTCCAGATGCAGGAAATCCAGACCCCCCCAAACAAGCAGGCCTGTGTAATATGTTTTGATTTATTCTAGATTTCTTCCCCTCCCAGAGGAAACGTGTTAGCATGTTTTGCCAAGTAATCACATCCTTCTTCGGTACAGTTATAGGGAGAGTTCAAAAGAGAAAAAGAAACTTTGGTACAATAAATCTCTTCAGGTGTAATCTGTCTGCCAGCGTAAGTAAGGTGTTGTTCCATTTTGCTATGTCTGTTTTTATGTTTGAATAGATTTTTTGATAGTTATGTTTAGAGAGATCTTTAAGATTTAGTGGTATGTATATCCCCAAGTATCTCTAGCAGTTTGTAATCCATATAAAGTTAGTGGATAGTGGAGACAGCACTGGTCGCCCTCAAGGATGACCTCAGGAGGCATCTGGATTGAGGCGGATTGGCAGTGCTGTTGCCGTTGGACCTGCCAACAGCATTCGACATGGTCGACCATCAGCTACTGATCCACCGCCTTGCTGACTCTGGAGTTCAGGGGCTTACCTTGCAATGGCTCGCATCCTTTCTTCAGGGTTGGGGACAAAGGGTGGTGCTAGGGGAACAGCTGTCTCAAAGGCATCCACTGACTTGTGGTGTGCCTCAAGGGGCAGTACTTTCCTCGATGTTCAACATCTATATGCACCCCCTTGCCCAGATTGCCCATACGCATGGTCTAGGGTGTCACCAGTATGCAGATGACACCCAGCTCTATCTGCTGTTGGGCAGCCAGTCTGACTCTACACCGGAAGATCTGGACCAGGCGTTAAAAGCCGTGGCTGGTTGGCTTAGACTGAGTCGACTGAGACTGAATCCGACAAAGATGGAGGTCCTGTGCCTGAGCCGGGGTGGCCTAGGGGTAGGGATCCTACTCCCGACCTTCGATGGGGAGTGTTGGAGGTTAGGAGTTTGGGAGTGCTCCTGGATGCCTCTTTAACAATGGAGGCCCAGGTAGCAGCCACTGCCAAGTCAGCCTTTTACCATCTTCGGCTGATCAGGCAGTTGGTTCCCTTCCTCGAACGCAACGACTTGGCAGCAGTGATCCACACGATGGTCACCTCAAAATTAGACTACTGTAATGCTCTCTACATGGGGCTGCCCTTGTCTCAAATCCGGAAGCTGCAGCTGGTGCAAAATGCTGTGACCAGGCTGTTGATGGGTCTCCCTATGCGGGAGCAAATCCAGCCTGTGCTGAAAGCATTGCCCTGGCTGCCAGTAGCATATCGGATTTACTTCAAGGTGCTGGTTTTGACCTTTAAAGCCCTTTATGGTCAGGGTCCTAAGGGACAGCCTTTCCCCACATGTTCCCCAGAGAGCACTGCGTTTTGGGGCTCAAAACCGGCTGGCCCTCCCAGGTCCCAAAGATGTTAGACTGGTGATAACCAGGGCCAGGGCCTTCTCAGTGGTGGCTCTGTACTAGTGGAATGAGCTCCCAGCAATCAGGGCCCTGCAGGACCTTTTACAGTTCCACAGGGCCTGTAAGACAGAGCTCTTCCACCAGGCTTTCGATTAGGAGCCACCTTAAACATCAAGGAGTGACCCTGTGCCCTGGTTTTACCACCTTCAGTGTATCCCGCCACATATTTATTCAATCAAGTTGAGCCGATTTGAGAATACCACCAGGACTAACGCCTAAGTAGTGGAACAGTTGGATTTAGAAATCTCTGCTCTGTACTTTGTTTCCGGAACTTTTGAAAATGGATACTGATTGTCTGTGAATGTTTTATGTATGTTTTTAGTTGTATATATATGCATTTTATGTAAGCCACCCTGAGCCTGTCTTGGCGGGAAGGGCAGCGTATAAATCGAACGAATAAATAAATAGAAATAAATGTATGAATTTGATTGTGTATGCTTAGCATTTTGTCCACATGAGGGGGGGGATATACATGAAAAAGAGTGTGTGGATTTCTAATATGGGCAATGCCTTCTATACTATTCAATGATTGGCTGATTGTAATTGCTGACAAATGAGACAAATATAGCTTTTTAGAGTGTTTATATATCCAAAAAGTAGCTGATCTTTGGCCAGTGTTTTTCATCTTTTCATCTCCCTCTAAAGCTGGCCTGTTCTTGCCCTGACAGTGAAATTCAAGAATTGGAAGGCTTTACACTGAAAATTCTACACCGTGTTGAGATTCAACCTCAGATCATGTGCTTATACAAAACATCTGGTCCTGGGTTGGCCTTCAAGTTTAAATATGTTGCTCAACATCTCTCCAGCATATCATATTACGCACTTAATGGAGAGACTGCACTCCTCAGAATTGCTGTGCTTCACTCCCTCTTGCCTGCCTTGTCTTTGCTGATGATAGCACAGGGAGTTGTGGGAATTGTGGGCAGAAGCAAGCTGCCCTGCTGCACTTCCAGTCTGCTGATAAATTAGAATCTGTCGGCAGCGGAATACATGCAGCTCATTAGAACAGTCTTGCGTGGCTATCCAGACCTCATTTGGATCATAAACTCACTGTACTGACAGCAGGAGTAAGATGGGATTAGATCAGCCCCTGTGCTGAGGAATGCAGCCTAAAGTGCCCTGGTGGTTCTCTGGGAATTGTAGTTCTATGCAGCAACTTATAGGGCGTCCCCAAAGAACCCCCAAAGTACCTTTACCTTATCATGTACATATTTGAAATACATGTTTTGCATAGAACTGAATCAGTGGGACTTATGCCCTCAGTGTTGTTGAAGTAGATATCTGATATTAATGCTGATTTGTGCAAAACTGTATGAAGTTCTTATATACATCCATTGCCCATCTGTTGGCATGGTTGGAAAATAGGTCCCAGAGGCTCTTGCTCTGCTTGCTTGCAAATATATATTGTGGATCTTTGTTTACATAAGAGATAATGAATGCTACTTGCCAGTGACTTCAGCCCTTTAAAGGTTTCAGGGTGACAGAAGTGTGAAATAGGAAGAGTTCTGCTGTGGGGGGGTGTCCTTCCCTGGTGATGTTATCACAGGGATGCAATTGCATTGTGAGGTTGTGGTTTGGCATACATTTCCAGTTTAGGCTAGCTGTGCTGTGATCATTGTGCCTGTTTGTATTCAGAGCCATGCTGAGTTGTTCAGACTGGTGTCTAACCAGAATTTAAGATTATATTTTGGGGGAAATCATTGACTAGACATGGTCAAGCAGTAGGCACCAACGTCATTTAATTTCCCACCTCATTTCATTCATGAAGAACATTGTTTTTCTATGTGCTGTTCCCACATGACTTTGCATTCCCAACAGTTGTGTGAGGGAGCTTTTATTCATCTGGGTACGAGTACAGAGAAAAAACTCTGCAGCCCCTTTCTGCGAGTGAAGGGATTTTACAGCATCCGAAATCCTGTCTTATGGTAAATGCTTGATCCTTCTCCTTTCTCCCAATAGGTAAATGTCCTACCTTCAGCCAGCAAGGTGGTTCTTCTGGAGAACATGATCCGCTTCTGGCCTATCATACAGATTAAAATCAAGCGTTGTCAGCAGGTACACTGAACTCTGTTACTCACTGCAATGAAGCAAGTTTCACTCCACTGGCCTTGAGGCCTTTCTGCGTGGTCAGGTTTTGCATGTTAAAAGCACTTTTGGTTCTTTAGTTTGAGGTGTGCCATTCAGAAAGGATTGAGGCCTCATTGCTGAAGCAGGATTTGTAAGTATATTATGCAGAAGGCAAAATGTCATTGTGTGGGGCCACCTTCAGATTGTGTGGCAAAGGCCAATGGATGTAAACACCGGACAGGGTATCACTTGCCTCCAGGTAGAGAACTGCCTTATGTGTGAGAACCCTGTCTTCTCTCTGCAGGGAGGGATTGACACACGTGTGCGTGGCATCGAGGTGCTGGGCCCCAAGCCCACCTTCTGGCCGATCTTCAAGGAGCAGCTGTGCCGGCGCACCTTCCTCTTCTACACCACCAAGGCCCACACCTGGTGCCAGGAAATCTCTGAAGACCGGAGGCAGCTGCTGCAGCTCTTCAACAGGTATCCTCGTCCTTCGCCTGGGGCTGCAGATCAGGGGGCCGCCCCGAGAGCCTCACCCCTAGCCGGCAGGGAGGGAGGGAGGGAGGGTCTCACCCACCTCTCGTTCCCAGGCTCGGGATGAACGGGAAGGGCTTAGCGGCCTCGCAGGCGGAGATACTCCCGGCTCAGGTGGCCATTCCCAGCACCCGCTCGCCTGTCGGTCTTTATCCACCGTTGTCCTAAGCATCCGTATCCTACATGGGCCGTCGTAAGGGCCCAGTCTCTGGTCCAGATGTGCCCACAGCCAGGGGTTCTCCGGGCTTCTGTTGGCAGTCATGGCTCACACAGCACCTCCTTGGTGTTGCAGGCTGAACAGTGCTCTGCGCCACGAACAGGACTTTGCCGACCGCTTCCTTCCCGACGACGAGGCTGCTCAGGCCCTGGGCAAGACCTGCTGGGATGCTCTCGTCACCCCCCTGGTGCAGAGTATCACCTCTCCAGGTACTGGCTCTTCTTCCCGGCAAGGCCCCTTGGCTGCCGCGGTGGCCCTCTGCTGACACGTGTTCTTCCCGCCCTTCTAGACCCCAGTGGCGTCAGCCCCCTGTCGTGGCTTCTGAGCCAATACCTAGAGAACCTGAAGGCAGCGGCAAGGGCCAGGAAGCGAGCGGCCGCTTTCAACTCTCGCGTGCGGCGACTGAGCCACCTGCTGGTGCACGTGGACTCCAGCAGCCCCGAGCCCGAGGAGCTGAAGGCCCCTGTGAAGTCCAGTGAGTGTCGACCCGCCCCGTGGGGGGGGGCAGGTGGGTGGACGGGCAGCAGAAAGGACGGGTCGTCCCTTCTGAGTGGAAGGCGGGAGGGTAGCCGGGCAGGCGGGAGGGAGGAGTCTCCTCACCCACCTCTTGTTCCCAGGCTGCAGGATGAACAGGAAGGCAGAAGAACGGGAAGTGGGGTGGGGTGGGGTGGTTCCGTAGGGAAGGAGGGGAGCTGGGAGTGGGGTGTGTCGTTCTCGCTGGGAGCCTCCCACCAGGTTTCCAGAGCCCGGTAGGATCGAGGGGCGTGTGTGCGCGTGCGTGTGCGTCCCCTGCCCCGGCTGGAGACCTTTGTCCCCTGCCCCGGCTGGAGACCTTTGTCCCCTGCCCCGACTGGAGACCTTTGTCCCCTGCCCCCTTTGCAGACGGGAAGGACGGGAAGAGCAAGGAGTCGGGTTCCGGGGCTGCCAAGCCGGGGGAGATCTGGAGACCTTTGTCCCCTGCCCCGGCTGGAGACCTTTGTCCCCTGCCCCGACTGGAGACCTTTGTCCCCTGCCCCCTTTGCAGACGGGAAGGACGGGAAGAGCAAGGAGTCGAGTTCCGGGGCTGCCAAGCCGGTGGAGAAGAAGCCCAGCAGCACGGCCGGCATCACGCGGTGCTGGAAAGGGGTGGTCCAG